TTGGTCCCATAGTGGATAAGTTCATCGCCAAGCAAAATGTAGTAGCCTTTAAGTACTCCCCTATTGATTTAAGTATAACACTTTGTTTGGATAGAATGAAATGGAAGGAAAATAAGAGAAGAGAAGAGAAAGGGAGGAGGATAATTTCTCTTGTTTGGGTAAAGGATTGGGGGAAGGAAGGGGAAGGAGAGGGAGGGATTTATCCTCTCTCTTTAATATGTATAATCCCTCTAAATTTGGAGAAATTTGGAGGGAAAATGGAGCTCACCTTTTTCCTCCCTTTCTCTTCCCTACCCTCTCCTTCCTTTCCATCTTTGCTATATAAACAAAGCGTAAATGTTTCAGCCTGAGTCTTTCTTATGATGCATCATACTGCTTGTGTTGATGAAGTGGTGATATACTGATGTGGGCCCATGTGGCACCTTATTGTGATTATTGTACCTAGTCTTTTTCAACGTTTTTGTGGTAAAATATGGATGTTAAGGAGGAAATTGTTTATTGATGTCATTTGAGGTAATAGAATTTGAATTTGAACAGTTGAAAAATGAGGCATTCGATATGTGTGTGAGTTTTTTTTTTTTTTTGTTGTTGAAAATCTTGTAGGTAAATGCCAACTTTTTTTTTAATACTGCCCATCAGGGGTATTTAGTAAAATTTTTGAGGGAGTGGGAGGATGAGAGGGGTGGGGGAGGTGGGGAGAAGGTGAGGATGAGGATGAGAGAGAAGGAATAATATCGTCCAGACGTCCACTACCTTTGACAGTGAAGGAAAGGAAGAGAGGGGGGGGGGGTATATTTCTAATTCTTATTTCCTGGTTGGCTGCTATTTTTATGTACATATATTTGCTAGATAATTAATTTTTTAGCTCTCTAATTGACCTTTTAGTTGGTTGTTATTTTATTTAGATTAGAGGATTTGTTTGGAACACTCTCATTTAGGCTACTTATAGGGCATTTTTGAGTTAGGATTAGGGGCTTTGCTTTGAACTCTCATTGCTAGATCACAGATATATGGTGGTAAATAGTACATGTAAAAATACATTATGGTTTGCTTTGAATGATTTGTTAAAGATCTAACATAGTGGACCTTTTCATCCTACCCTCTTACCAAGTTACTGTGTATGCATTATTACTTGGACATGGCTACAAGTGTATAATACAACACCAAGAGTATTAGCAATATGTACAACATTTCTTTCTTTTTCTGACATTTTGTTTTAACTTCTGCAGCGTTGCTACTGATTATTTTAACATTGTAGTAGAAATCATTCCTCCATTATTTTGAGTTAATGCTTTTTTTTTTTTTTTTTTTTTTTTTTTTTTTTTGGGCAGCGATGATTTGTTCAAGTTGTTGCTAATTGCAATTCATTTGTTGGAAAGTTGTGTCTTCTTTTCAGATTTGCAGCACGCTTAACTTTCCTTCTACTCATCTTATTCATTGTTCTTAAATATAACTTTGGTTGCTGTTAAGCTGAAGCGGTTACAATTTGTTCTTTATTTATTATTTAAATTAATTTTTGAATTTTCCAGGACAAACTTTCACCTCTTAAATATCAGTTTTGGTAGCTCCTCGTTACTAATTCATCGTTTCTTTAATTTTTTGAATTTTCCAGGACAAACCTTCTTTTTTTGTCTTAGATATACTTTACTTTTTGTCTACAGTTGTAACTATTATTTCCCTTTTCTTCTTACCAAATAATTGGTGGTGGTTAATCTGTGAAATTTACTATGTTTATTGTTTGATTTTGTGGTTTTTATGATGTTGAATTACAATTACGATTTTATCAAATTATCAATATGCATGTGATATCTACTGTTAATTCCTCTGTTCCTGTTTACTTAATCTAGCTGATTGTCATTGTAGTTTATGAAATAGGCAAATAACAACCTAACTTAGCTTCCATGTATCATGGGGCACTTCACTTTCTGTATTTTTCTTATAATCTGGTTCCATCTTATGGATAAGGATAGAAAATGCAAGGAGGTCAAAATGAAATATATGTCTTACGGATCACTGGAAAAATCATAGAAGAAAGTATTTTTCTTGCTATTGTTTCCTAGGATTGGACTTTTTTGTGCCTTCTCCATATGAACAAATAATTTCACAACATGTCTATCTAATGAAGTTTTCTTTGCTTGTATTTTGGAAAAATAGCACTTCAAACTTGACAAATCTCATGCTGCTCTCATCTTTATACACAAGGCTGAAACTTAAAAATATTTTAAGATAACCGACGTGGAACTAGATCAACTAGCTCCTTGGTTCAAGAAATTCATGGTGAGATTCTTCAGTCGTGTACTCAAGATTTTCTTTGCCTGTTTTATATTTTGTAGTAGCTACCCATTCTCAATCAGCAAATTGTTGCAGGATGGATTGCTTTTGTTGTAGATCCTGTATTTTTGGTTCTTCTGCATTAGGTGTTAATTTATTACTGGTTTTATGCAATTACAATTTAACTGTTAGTTTCGATTCAGCTTTCATAGTTTTGTACCTAAAATTTCATGTTTTAGATATTGATCTATTTGTTAATTTTCATGTTTTCTTTCCTCAATCAAGCCATATGAAAATTTATTATGGATATAATGAGTTGTATTAATTAAGCCTCGTAAAATTGGAAGTAATATCGTACTTTGGTTTTCAGAAAATTTGACGAATAAACCTAAACTCCCTGATAAGAATTCTGCACTCATTGCTGTTATTGCTTACAAGGTATGTGTTTGCTTAAAAAATTAATTGAGCAGAATTGGTGCAAGTTAATATGAAATATAGCTTGGAAAATTCTGTGTTTGATATGTATATTGTCTGCTGTGTTATTTAATTTTTCCAGGCTTCACCCAATTCAATTTGAGTTCAATTATAACAGTTTCTGGAAAAAGTTAAAAAAAAATAAAAATTGATTGATGTGATAGTTGATAAATATTCTTAGGCAAATCAAAAGCCATAGGAGGGAGATGATGATGATGATAAAAATGATATTGAAAGTGATAGGCCTTTTCTTTGCAGTTGCTGTAGGTGTTTCCTATCAACCTAATAGTTTTCTGTACTTCCTTTTTTTTTTTACATCAATTTGTTTGCAATTTTGTTCTTCTCTCCTCAATCTTAGTTACTCTCTCTAAATTGTGCTTGGTCATCTTCCTCATCTTTGGTAAGTTATTTGATTTTACCTAAATTAATGAATTGTCGTTCTTGTTAAATTTGAATTCGTTTCGTTTTCGTTCCTGAGTAATAAATTTCGTTGTTTCTTTTGAATTGTTGTTGCTCCTCTTTTTCTTTCATTTCGCTTTCTCTCTCTAAAATTGGGGTTTGAGAAGATGTAAATGTAATCTCATTTCCCCCATCTCAATCCCCTATTCCATCCCAATTTGCTAGGGTATTGGTCTGACCCTCTGATTTTAATCTCTCTTTCTTTTGATCTTCTTGTTTTGCAGGTTGATGTAGCTTACCTGTGTTCTTGGGACTGTTGATAACTTGTGATATTATTCCATCAGACCTTACTGTTCTGGTAATTGTGTGGCCTTTTGAATGTTGCTACATATAGCGTTGATGCCTTCTTCCAATGGTCTATTTCCTATCAGTGTGTTCTCTTCCTTCCAAGACCTTCCTGTTCAGATTACCTGGTCTGCATATGCCTTCTTCCTGTTCAGATTACATGCCATAGAACATCTATCTATGCAGACCAGGTAATATAGTTGTACGTCTTTTTAAGAAGCATGGTCTTTGAGGTTCTATGGAAGATGGATGCCGTGCCATTCCAAATGATTTTTGGAGCTTTTGCTACAACGAGCTCAAGAGGCTGACTGGAAACTTCAAGGAAGTTCTAGGAAAAGGAGGCTTTGGTGCTGCTTACAAGGGTGTTCTGGCAGATGAGAGAGTAGTTGCTGTGAAGAAACTAGATAATGTTGTGCAAGGAGATGATGAAATTTGAGGAGTGAGCATATGAACCTTGCTCTCAACTGAAATCCTTCTTGGCTGGGAAGAGAGGTCAAAAGCTGAAATAGGCACGGCTAAAGGTTTTGCATACCTTCACCCGGAATGTCGAGAATGGGTTATCCATTGTGATGACAAACCTGAAAATATTCACTTTGAAGATTTTTATTGATCTCTAAACTTATGCTCTGTTCTCCCTATATAGAGTAATACATTAGTAGTATTACTAATTTAATCATGATTCCAAATCAACTAACATTGCATAAAATGATAAACCGTATATCACATTCGTATGACAAGGTTGTTCATCAGTCTAAGATCGAATCAGATTGAAGACAGAAAATTTAAAATTTAAGACCTAGTGGCCGGATCAATTTTGGATAGAGTGGTAAGACTAGCCCAAAACCCGAATTGGACCAAATTTAAAATTTTTCAGTATTTAATTTAAATTTTTTTTAATAATGTTATAAAAAAATAAATATACGTAGTAAGAAAAATGATTATTTGGCTTGTTTTCAAAAGAAAAAAAAATGATTGTTTAGCTTGTTCGACATCGTTTTTTGTTTTCACTTTTTGATGAAAACAAAAAACCAAAAACAGGAAACAGGAAAAAAAGTGTTTTCATTTTTCTGTTGTCAGTTTTCAAAATTATTATGATTTTAATAAGTTTGAATAATTTTCTATTTATTAAATGATATATATCATATGATTTTGAAAAACAAAAAACCAAAAAACAGAAAATCATAGCGATACCAAACGAACCCTAAGTGTTTAATTTTTGCAATAGGAGAAAATCCAAGTTTATCTTTCGTGATAAACCTGTAAATATGTCTCTTTCACAATATAATTTTTTTTCACAAGTTTCCTCATATAAATACACAATATTCAATAGTTCAGAGAAAATACTACTCCATACTTTATATCTTTGATAAATTTTTTGTCAAATATGGATCCGCAATTATTGATTTATTTAAAAAATACCATGTTGACTGGATAAAATTATTATTTACGATTTTACGGAGTACAATTTTGCTAATTTGATTAACAAGATAAATCGTGGCTTCATCGATAGTTCAAACTCCTGTTTTCCTATCCAGATCGGGTTTTTAATACCGCTACGAATGGGTACGGTATCAACACGAAACAGATAAATTGCTTAAACAGGACAGAATTTGGAGGATGGGAGATACACATTACAGTATTACACATTTACACACCTACACCTTGAACTCTCTCGTCAATCGTCACAATTTCTACTGCAAAGTGTGAGTGAGAGAACTGAGAATGAGTTGTGGATGCAGAATAGCCCAGCATCTCAAAGACTGGGATGGTTTTGGGTTCGGGATTCCCTCTTTTACTTCTCCCAATTTCAGATTTTCTTCTTTGATTAAACCCCAACTACAACATTCTAAACCTCGATTTCACAAAATCCCATCTTTTCAATGGACCAAAACTTCAATTACAACAAGATTACTTACTACAAACTACCCTTCTTCTTCTTCTGCCAATTCATTCTCTTTCATCAATTGTCTTCAATCTAAGTTTCCCCATGAAATTCCCACATTCAACGATTCCTCTTTCAGGTTTTCTTTTATTCCTTTGTTTTTGTTTCAATTACTATACCTTATTTTTTTCATTTTTTTTTTTTTTTTTTTACCTAATTTCTTGATGCTTTCTGATGTTGTGATCACGAATAATTATCTATGAGCGAATAAGGATAAGTGGGTTTTGTTGATTATATTGCTATATAGCTTGTTTGTATATTAGAGTTATGAAGAATGAATTAATGGTAATGTAGAATTGTTAATTTACTTTGGAAACAATACTATTTGATCATATATTGATTGAAAATTTTGCTTTTGGGTTGATTTGATGCATAAGTTTTACTAGGTTCACAATTTTAAGTTAAATGGTAGCTCATTGACTATGCTAAGTGCACTAACGAGAGAAATCTGTTCGTGAATCGCAGTATTTTCGCAGGCGATGATGTTGGGGGGAAATTCGGGTCTTTTTACTTTGTTATTGAGTGTGATATAGATGCATTATAGTCCACAGAAGGGATATACTGTTGCAAGAGGCATATGAGACTGAAGACATGTTGGTACCTTTTGTGGCTTTGGCTTATTCGGCGAAATTAGTTTAAATTAGTCGATGAGAATGTAAGCTTGCTAATGCTAAACCTAGGAGAAAGTTAGCTGAAAGCGAAACAGTAGTTACAGAAAAGTTTTAGATTTGTTTGGCTGAACTAGTTGAAAATTATAGGCTGGCTGAAATGCTAGTCTGAAAGATTTATCGAAGTTGAAAAGTTAGCTCAACTGGGGTAGATACATTTAGTTGAATGGATGACCTAGCCGAAATTGGAAAAATTGGTGTAAATTGGGAGTTGAAAGGTAATTGCTGAAAATCGAAAAACTTTCTTATAAAATACTTCTTAATTGGCACAGGGAGGGCCTGTGCCAGTGTGGCCTGTGGGAGTAGTTATTCCTTGTGCTAGTTTGCTCCAAACCTTCTTGTATCTTGGCGAATCTTTCGCTGTTGTATAAGCTGTTCCGCTTAAACAAAAAAAATGTGACTAATGCTCATTTTAATGCTCATTGTTTGAAGTAAAGACTCCATGAGTACTAAAGATGGACAGAGATGAGGCAAAAGAGGCTTTGCTATTAAAATATAGATCTCATATTAGTTATTGTAAAAGCCTATCAATTCAGGCTGATGTTTTAGACACATTATATGTATATCTCTTTGTGTCATCATGTTAATATCTATTTTCTTGTTTTTATTGGGTGAAGCCAGAAGGAAGATGACCGCGAGCTTTCATCTGAAGGGTTGTCATCAATAGCAGGTTCTCTTTGACTTCTTAAAACTTTTTAAAAAAAATACATTTCTGATTAAGAATGTTGTATAGTGTCCCATATTTGTTTATTTAATTGTATTTTTGGAAGCCTTCCATCTTCTTTTGACTTCCCCTTCATTGGCACTTCACTCCGTCTATATTTATATATAATCTAATTTTTTTCATATTCTCTCTGCCCTTAAATAAAGGTGTTGTTGCACATAGTCAAGAGAACCGAAGTTGGTAACTTCTGATGTACTCACTACTCAATGCATTTTTATCTAATAAGAGTATTTAGATGATGGATGTCTTGGTGTCTGATTTTTACGAATTTGCAGTTGTAAGTTTAGCTGATAAGTTGTAAAAATAATGGAGGAAGACTCTGAATGATGATGATAATTGAATTTAAATCCTTGTCCTTAGGCAGTACTCATCATTTACATAATTTGGTAACTTGGTTGCTTGACACAGGGATGAGGATAATTAAATTAATCAGATGTTGATTGCTGAATCAATGTATGCATAATTTATTATATATGATACTCAACACAATTGTTGTTCTATGAGGGATCTCTGATCAAGAAGTGTAAAGAACGTTAGCCTTAGTGAGTGTAATTCAATGGATTAAGATCCAGGTATTTTAGACTTAATCATATGTTATCAAACTACAAATTTATAATTTTTGGTCAGCTAGGAACTAGTAGTATGTTAAGGTTGATTTCCTGAAAGAAAGAGAGGACTAGGTTGTACTCTTGTAGATAAGCCATAAGCCATACTTAATCTGTAATGCTGAATTTTAAGGTGAGCATTTTTATTTTTGGTGATTTATATACTCTAGATGGGCTGCTTTTAAAAGAGATTCGTCATTAACTGTGAGAATAGTCTTTTCTATGTGTAAATGGTTAATTTTTATTTTTTGGTTTTTTTTTTTTAAACAGGAGGCATAGTAGCATTGGGGAAGTTTGATGCCCTACACATTGGTCATCGGGAACTTGTAATTCAAGCATCTAAAGCTGGAGCTCCATTTCTTTTGTCATTTGCAGGGATGGCAGAAGTGCTTGGTTGGGCACCTAGGTATTTGCATCTTGTGTATTTGTCTGCTTAGTTTTTATCCCCTGTTCTTTACAATTAGCAAAATTTCTCCTCTGTTCTTTATACAAGTATATCATAACAGTTGGAGTTTCATACATCCCAACACATAGTTCAAATCATTTATGTAATAAAAAGTACAATGTATAAAAAATTTGATATTTGAAAGTTTACAATGAGATAAATTTAGAAAAATCCCACATCACTATATTTTTCCTTGAGTAAAAACCACTATAGATGGTCAAAGCGTACTGTGTAAAATCTTTAAATAGTGTAACTAGGAACCCAATTGTTGCATTAAATGAAGAACAAAGGTAGTAAATTAATAATTATTCTGTTCTCTATACATGTGATTTGTCTGCTCCAGTGTATCTTTGCTTCCATATTTTATTATTCTTTTTACAAAGGAAGGGAAAATTGAAATAAGAGATGATTTTTTTAAGCACATTGGTGAGTATATGCTGGCTTGCAAAACTAAACTTGCTGTTATTGCACGTTTGCAACTGTGGAACAATGTCATCATCAGGCCTAACAATTTAGTAGTGTTATCCTAAAAAATATAATGATTACTTGTATTCACCCTTGGTTAATTTGTTCTCTATGCAACATTTATTTGCTGAGCTTGGTTTTCATTCTTTGAGTAGATGCTTGAGGGCTAGAGTTGTTTTAAAAGATAATAGTCTGATTTTCTTGTTTCTGAACATTACATACAGTATGTTTTATAAACAGGTCTCCCATTGTTGCAAAATGTGACCGCCATCGTATTCTTTCTTCCTGGGCTCCATTCTGTGGTAACGTTCCTCCTAAGGAGTTTCTGATTGACTTTGCAAGTGTAAGGCATCTTACTCCTCAGCAATTTGTGGAGAAGTTGTCTAAGGAGCTTGGTGTCCGTGGAGTTGTAGCAGGTTTTCTTGAAAAATCTTTATCACTTCTTGTATTGATTTGTGTATCTGGTATAATTTAATGATCTTATAATATTTTTCATGGCAGGTGAAAATTATAGGTTTGGGTATAAAGCTGCTGGTGATGCCTCTCAACTAGTGAGGTTATGTGACGAGTATGGAATACAGGCTTATATAATAAATTCTGTCATGGACAAAAATCAAGACATGGTTAATTCAGCCATATCAGACAAGAAGGAAAGAGGTCAAGTCTCATCTACACGTGTACGTTATGCTCTTAGCAAAGGAGACATAGGCTATGTTTCTGAGCTATTGGGTCGTCAGCATCGCCTCATATTATCAGCTGAAAAGAAGGATGAGTTTGTTGGCTCTAGAAACCGTCTTTCTGCTTCTAAATCCTATTTATTAAACCTACCACCGAAAGAGGGCTTGTATGATAACTGCTCCCTTATAGTTGGTGATGAAAATCAGTTGCCATGTAGGGTGCTCATTGATTCAACACATATCCATCTAGAATCAGATGAAAAGGATCTCTCTCTTCTTAACAATCATCACCTTTTGGGGATTGAGTTTTGTAGCTGAATAAATATTGACGACTAGATATTTGATGCATGTGCTAAAGAAGCTGAAGATGATACAAAGTCAATGGAACAGGTACTTCAGGTGAAAGAAACCTGACCTGCATCAGAATTTCTCATATTGATTTGCTGATCTCATGCTTGCCATATTTGGTCCCAACCTAATGTTCTTGAAAGTGCTCCGATGGATAGGATACGATGTCTGGTACTAGTACGGTTTGGTTCTTGGATAATTGTCCTTCAATTAGCAATCAAACCTGCATCTATTCAAGGCTGAAGGTTTACGGTAGTTATTGCTGCAGCATGCTAATTTTACAACATACTACTCATTATTGATAGTTTAGCTCTCAATTTTCTTATTTTATTATTTTTATCTTTGAATTAGTTGCTGAGCACCCATGTAAATGTATTGCATTGATAGTCTAAGTGCTACAGATCATATACTGATATACTTGGTATATTTTTTGGGTGCAGAAAGAAATAAAAAAATAAAAAGGGGGAATTACAGCCTTCTTCTGGAAAGTAGGGGTTATGACGTTATGTATTTATTTCTTGAATGTGACTTAGGAAAGTTGATGAAAGATATTCCTTGGAATATACTCCTATTACTCAATGACCAAAATATGGGTCATGGGGATGCTATTCTCACCAGTCACCATGCTATTTTTCATGCAAAGAATATGCGGCTATGTTTTGTCGACAAATTAAGGCTTGGCTTCTTGGAAAGAACTAGAGAAGTGATCTTGGTCTAAATCAACAACTTGGAATAGTTATTTACAATAGGTCAATAGCGTAAAGAAAAATAACATTTCCTCCGTTCTAGTAATATTATAACAATTGGATTTTTACACTATTCATCACGCTTGTTTGACCACATATTATGATTTATACGTAAACTAAAAGTCATGTGAAGTCTTGTTAGATTCGTCTCGTAAAATACTTTCATAATATCAACTTTTAATAATTTTTACTCCTATATAATTATAGATATTTAACGTGCTTTGGGTTGCGCAATATTTAACTTTCTCTGTTCTCTTTTAATTACAATGTATGTAATTAATATATATATATATATATATATATATACTCATATTTACTCATTTGACCTCATTTGTTGATTTATGTGTTGGACAAACTATAATCATTGTGAGATCTTATCAGATTCATCTCGATTTATATTTTCATAATAGCAATTAGACTTTATGTATTATTATTTACTTACAAATTTAGATGTAAGGAGTGGAAATTATGCATTGGTAATTATAAAAGTCAAAACGTTGCAACTAAAAGAGAACGGATAATATACAACTCTTAAGCCTGTAAATACACATTATTAATATTTTTTTTATTTATTTATAAATGCATTACGAAATCACATGTTGCAATTTCATTAAAACAAAAAAATGTTTGATAATTTTCATATTTAATTCCTTATTTATTATCCTTAGAGGGTGTTTGTTTAGGGGGGATAAAAGGGGTGGGGCAAGGATAAAAAATAGGGATTGAGGAAATGTAGTGTTTGTTTAGAGGGATGAGGATTAGAAGGGGGGTTAGGGATAGAGATAAAAATATCTACTTATCCCTCCATTTCTATAACTAAGGGAGGTGGTATAAAGGGAAGGGATAAGAAATGGGTATTAAAAGACCAAATTACCCTTAATGAAATTGAATGGGTAAGGAGAAAGGGTAGAAGTTAGTAAGGGTATTTTTTAAAGGTTGAATAACTTTTTTTTTTTTTTGACAAGGAATAACTTTCTTACTACAGTACTAATTAATACTATTATTTTAAAACAGGAAGTTGGAAGGACATTTGTCCTCTTCCCGTTTTAAAATAGTTTTTTTTAATTACAAAAAAAAAAAAAAAAAAAAAAAAACATACATCTCTTCCATCCCAATGCCCTAATCATGCCTATTCAAGAAAATAGTTTTTTTCATCCAAAAAAAAATTATTAAAACAGAAAATCACATCAAACAATTCTTCAACAAATGTATACTAATATTTTAAAACAGGAAATTTAAAGGACACTTGTCCTCATCCTGTATTTATGATTTTTGTATTTTTGATTTTTTTTCCTTCTTTTGTTTCAACTAAAGTGTAAAAAAAAAAAAAAAAAAAAAAAAAAAAAAAAAAAAAAAAAAATTACTCTCCTAAATGATTCAATCCCCTCAAGAAAAAGATATCAATTTTCATTTTTGTCTCTTGGGTTTCACTAAATTGCATTATATATATTAAATTTCAATCACACTAAAAAATTAATAATAGTTTATCTTTCCCCTCTCTAACTTTTTACGCTTTCTCTATTTACCCTAACTCTACCATTTCTCTCCTTCATCCTAAATCTATAATTTATATTAAGTAATTAAAAAAAAGTTATTGTCAAGAAGTATACATACTTCAAAAAATAATAGCGGTATTGAATTTAAGGGACCAATCAAACGTATGTTTTCTCAACTTTATTTATAATTCGTTTTTTTTCAAATTTCTTTTCACTTTTTTGTTGCTTTGGTATTTAATCATTTTTTAACAAATTGCGCTTTAGAACTTTGTCTAGGTTTTTATAAAACTTTGTATTTCTTTTTTCCTTTTTCAATGTTCAAAGATAATTATTTTTATGAATTTTAATATTTTTAAATTTTATCATGTGTCACTATTTTTTCAGATCTCGAATTTTTTTAAGTTTATGTAGGATTTAATATTTTTCAATTTTTTTTTTCTGAAATTTGTTTTTGAATTTTTGGGTGATTGGTGTTTAATCGTTTTTTTAAGAAGAATTGTGTATCAATATTTGATTTTTTAAAAAGGTTTGCATAATTAATTTTCTTTTACAAGGTTTAAAGATCGAGTTTTTATAATTCTATTTTCAATATTTTTTATTTTGTTATATATTTCCTTTTCATTTTTTAAGATCTCAATTTAAATTTATTTATTTTTTACTTCATTTTTGTCTATGATTTTCGTTTATTGTGTTTTTAGTACTATTTTTGTAAATTTGAACTAGATTTGCAAAATATTTTTTTTATTTGATCTAATTTTAATTACGTTTTTAAATTGTTATTTCCACTTATTGCCAACATGATGTTTTTCATATGGCAGAGTAGTTATTTGTATTCTTTCCTTGTTGCTACATTGTACTTTCATTATATAATAAAATTACGAGTACCTATTTTAATGTTCAAAATGTCCGGTTGCACATAAGGCCATAAGCTAGACTCTATATTGAGTTTTGTTTTTTACATTCTGCTCTACTATATATTTTTTCTTTAATAATCGATTTTGATTTTCTTTTCTATTTTCATTTTTCGATTTCTTTTAAGTAATGTTGATTTGATTTATTTGGTGATTTTATGTGTTTGTAGGTGAAAAATTCAATATTCAACAAAGGAACAATATATTTGGATGGAAAGTACAACATATCAATTTTGTGAAGAGACAATTGGAAGCATTTAATAAGAATTTCATATGATTAGTTTTGTACAAATAATTTTATTTTCATTGTACTCTCATACGGTTTCTTTTTTGAAAGAATAGTGTTTCTTGATATTAACTAAAATAACATAAATAATAAAAATCTTAATCAGAAGTATTAGTGTTTGATTAATGTTGAATGATTTTATTATAAATTATTTTGTATTTATCAATTTATCATTTAATGCATCTATTTATATATAGGCTAGCTAATGTTTTCCATCACATGTACGTTGGGTTTGGGTTAAACTTGTATGTATTGGTAGATAGTTTTTTTGCTTGATGCAATTTGTATTTCTTACATATGATATGATGTAATTTTTTTTTGTGGATTAGAATATATCGCATTACATTACGTAGTTTTTATGTTACTAACAAAATACAATATAATTTATATTTACATATGTTTTGATTTTAAAAAAACCTAAGAACAATTTAAACACACAATAGTAAAATTCTTTAATTGAAAAACATATACTTTCTATTTAGCCAACAAGATTAACCTGTGCATCGCACGGACTAAATACTAGTTATTGATCAAAAACCAAAGACTTGTTTATTTTTACGTCTTGTCTTATAGTAGCTTTGAATTTGTACAATTTTACCCGTAAAATAATTATATTTCTTTATTAAGTACTCCCTCCGTTCCTTAATTTTTGCCCCATTGCAAACATATAGGTCAAACTTTTAAAACTTTGACTATGAATTCTCGTTGATCAATAAGTGATAATATATTCATGTGGCATCTTGTTAGAATTGTCTCATTGTATAGTTTATTAATATCAAATTTTTATAATTTTTACGCGTATAAAAATGGAGATATATGCGTTTGAAGACGTGTCTTAGAAACCGTAAAAAGTCAAATGAGGCTAAAAATAAGTGACAGGCGGAGTACTCGTAATTTTTCTTCAAAAAAGGTAATTGATGGAGTATAAAAAACTTGGACCAAATTTCATTTCAAAAGAATATTCCCATCAACTGTCCCCAATTGTTTAGGAGGATTCGTTTTAAAACGTGAAAAACAAATCAAGGATTCTATTCTACTCTACAAATTGTAGTCAATTCTGAAAAAAGGCCCAAAATTGAATCCAATTTCCAAAGTTATTGCGCAAATTAAAGAGAGGCAGAAAGCGTTACTCCCACGCGAACAGCCGCATTTTCCGGCACCACCCAACAATCCACCTTACGCTAAACACAAGCATTCCCATTCTCATTTTCATTCTCTCTCCTCCTTCATTCTTTGTTTGAATTAATCTGAGGAGAGGGAAAACTTTCATACCCTTTTCTCATTTTAACTTCAGGTCACTTTTCTTTCTCTCTCTTAGCCTTTGATTTTACGAAATTTTGTTTTTTTAGTGAATTAATTTGTTTAAAGTTTGATTTTTGTTGAAATTGGATTAAAACCCATGTAATTGGTTGCATCAAGTTTGAATTTTGATGTCAAAGTTGAGAGATTTTTGTATTAGATGGTGTTGTGCTAATTGTTCAATTTTGGGTGTTTGTTGAATGTTTGAAATTTCTCATTCATGAATGTTTGTGTTTAAACTGCCTGATTTTGTGTTTGTGGGTCTGATTGAGTTTGAATTAACCTGTGGTCCCATCTTTGCATTGTTGCATTTTTCCATTTCCCACATTTTACACTAGCTCTTGTTCTTAATTCACCATCATTATTACGGAGTATCAATGTATTATGATTAAAATATGCTAGTATTTTAGGTTATCAGAGAGTTTGGTCTCGTGTTAGATGGTCTGACCAAAATGTTTTATTTGTTGAACAAATTAATTGTTTACCTCATTTTCTTATCTTTTGATTTTTGTATATTTTTTCATAGATTACCTGTCGGACAATCTATTACAAGAATTTGCCGGATATCATGAATTTTGTTGTTATTGTTATTTATGAGTATTGTACAATCTTATCTCTATAACTTAACTGCCAACTACCAATAAATTGTGGGAAATGGAGAAAAAAAATGAAGAAGAATAGAGGAAGAAAAAAAATGGTTGTTGGTAGAGGTTATTATTTTATTAATGTCGCATTCAAAGTCTTTTTGTGAATGAATGTAACAAGTTGGTTGATTATTCACATGTGTACGCGTCATATTGTGATGTGTATGAGTGTTTGTGTAACATGACTCTTGCTTGTTTGATTACCCTTTTGATAAATGGGTTGTCTTTTGGAAATAGAATATGGTCCTCATGTAATGTCACCTAATCTTGTTAATAGTTAATATGACTTGGACGGTTGGACCCAATTAGTCAAACATAATATACTTTCTTGAGTTTTGAATTTTGATTATGATCCTTAATGTATTTTGTGTCATTTTAAGTGTGGGAATTATGGAGATAAACGTGTTTGCTTTTGTTCATGTGCCAGGGAGTAAGGCCTTTGACCGTGTTAAAACTTCTTCATATACTTGGGGTTTGTTTATATAAAAGGTCGGGCTGTCAATATTGTTGACAGCCCGATTTTATTGAAGTCAGTCAAAAAGTCCAGGTATTGATCAATATTGTATATATATGTCTTCATTTTCCTGTTTGTTTTTCTCTTATTAGTTGCTTTTCCTTTATTCTTGGAAGCAGGATTTCCTTTCCAAGTCACTTATCAGAAATAATATTCTTTTCGTTTGGGCAAATACTTGTATGAAGGCTAATTGAAGATTTGAATATTTGATATACTCTGAATTACTCATTGTGTGTAGGTGATCTCACTTTCTCTGGCTCTTATTCGTGGGTCGCTCTGTTTAGTGATCTGTGTGAGTTTCTAAGAAATAGAGCTTGATATTGTTTTATGAGAGTTTTTGAACTTGCTGTGCATCATGGGTACCTTGTCTGGAAGCTTTCAACGACCTCTATTCACAGCTGCTGCTGTTGCCGTGGCATCTGTTTCAACTGATCTTCCGAACAAGTTAACAGATACCAAACAATCTGATCCTTCTGTTGCCTCAGAAACATTGGCTTCACCATCTCCCTGTGACTCAGCTCCAAGTTCAGGATTGTCATGGGTGTCTAACATTTCAGTTTCCAAACTTGCAAGGTTGTCGTTTGTGACCAGAATCCGGGTGCCAGTGCCTAATATTAACTATCATCCAATACCAAACTCAAGCTGCAGTTTTGCTGGAAATTCAGTAGGGTTATCTCCCATTTTGGTTAACCTTTACCAGTCTGCTGAGTTAGCCAAGGCCTCAAAACCCAAAACATATTCTTATCCTAGTCCAAGCGTGCCATCCTCAGACTTGTACAGGTGGCATTTGCCTGAGCCTACTACTGTTGATGTTGCTGGCAAGTCAGATTGCTCTTCTGCTAAATCTAGGACAGTGGTTGTTTTGTTGGGATGGCTGGGAGCAAAGCAGAAGCATTTGAGTAAATATGCAGAATGGTATACTTCAAAGGGCTTTCATGTAATCACCTTCACTTTTCCAATGTCTGAGGTTCTCAGCTACCAGGTTGGTGGGAAAGCTGAGCAGGATGTTGAGTTGCTTGTAAACCATCTTGCTGACTGGCTAGAAGAGGAGCATGGCAAGAACCTTGTTTTCCACACCTTCAGTAACACGGGTTGGTTAACGTAAGTCTCCATCTCATTGTCTTACTCACCCATTTTATCTTCATAATTTGCTTGTTATTTTGCTAATTAGATGTTCTTATATCACCTTAAATAGATACGGAGTTGCTCTAGAGAAGTTTCATAAGCAGGACCCTTCTTTAATAGGAAGAATTAAAGGCTGTATTGTGGATTCAGCTCCAGTTGCATCCCCAGATCCTCAGGTAATTATGCTGAAAAATTCTCTTTTTACATGTATGTGGAAATCAAAATGTATTTTTTTAGTTGCTTGGTGAGGTGAATTATTTATATTCTATATTTTTATTAGAATCTGTTCTCTGCCTGCTATTCTTCTTTAGATTCTTGACTGTGAGCCATTTTGTCACTCTACTTGTTTGAGGATGTTTCTTCATGGTCTGAACATGATTTGGCCTATAAAGGAGAGTATTAATGCTCAAGCTTTTTAGGAGCTTCTGCACTTTTCTAATGACAACATTACTTATCTCCAAGCAGGTATGGGCTTCAGGTTTCTCTGCTGCTTTTTTGAAAAAGCAAAGTGTCGCAACAAAGGGGAGAACAGCCTCATGTGATTCGGACGAAGAGGAATCTGTTGTTGCAAGAAGTGTTAATGAGCTAAAACCTGCGGTGACTGAAACAGCTTTACTGGTACTCTTGGAGAAGTTCTTTGAAGTTGTATTAAACCTTCCTCCTGTGAACAGGTAATTACTATCCTTTTCTGGGTTTAACTTATTGTTAGTTGCAGCTCCTTAAGAGATATGATCACTGGTTTACACAAATCTGATTACTTTTCACTTAGTCAGTACCCGACATTAGGATTGATACTAATGAATACAGCATGTTTGAAAACGTAATACCCAAAACCATGTATTGTTTTCTAGAGAATGTTGGCTTCTCAATGGACACATTCTACATTCTCATGAGAATTTACAAAGTAACAATTTGTCCATTGATGTTTGATGCCTTAAACTAATGTGTCTGCATGTCTACGTTACATTGTAGTGTCCAAGTGCCCATGCTTATATTTTTGATGCTTTGATGGAGGCGACATTCTTATACTTTTATCTGTTCAATTTTTACAGGAGACTGACAGATGTCATGGGTTTGTTGTCGTCTAAGCAGCCGAGCTGTCCGCAGCTATACATATACAGCTCTTCAGACAGGGTTATTCCTGCAAGTTCTGTGGAATCATTTATAGAGCAGCAGCGGAAATCTGGGCATGAGGTTAGATCGTGCAACTTCATCTCTACGCCTCATGTAGATCATTTCCGGAATGAACCACAATTGTATACATCTCAGCTAACCAAATTTTTGGAAGATTGTGTACTTAAATGTTGCAAAGGATCTTTTAGAACAGACACCATTGATTCTTTATACAAACCTATTCAAGGTTACATGTGATAGATAGGATGATTTTTAACTGATGATTTAAAGAACAAGGGTAGTAAGATTTGCCCTAAAGCCTCTTGTAACAAGTTACACAATTGTACAAAGCATTAAAAGTTTCAGCCTCTAGTCGATGTTTTCCTGCAGCTACCGTTTGTTGCATGCTGTATATCACCTCTACTTTACTGCTTTTCTGATCATCCTACAAATGCAGAATTGGTCTTAGTTTTATATAGTTTGTGCTCTTTGGTGCTATAGTATTGTCACCTGTTTGGTCACAGAGGACAACAATCCTTTCTTTAATCAGCCATTCTTTACTGGTTATTGCATTCACCTAGTCTTCGTCGAAACTTGTAGCGTAAAACAGAATTTCAACATCAAAGACTACTTAATCAAGAATAGGAGTGCATCTTGCCTCACCTCTTATGGTCCAAAGCTCCAAGTGAATCCGAAATAGGCCATGGTCAGGTACAGCTGAATAGGCTTACAACCTTTTAAATAGGTGACTTGCAACTCAAAATAGCTATACGCTAATAGTAGCGAATGTCTTGTGTCTTAGATACTCGCCAAAAAAAAAAAAATGAAATAAGAAATTAACATCAATCTACATTATCACATTATCGTCCCCTCACCGGACATCATTCCTCTAGGTTGTTCCTCTTTCTGTCCCTCCTCACCTAGCGTTGTTTATCTTCACCGGCCACCTCTCCAAGCACCGGCATACACCATCCACCACGTCGTGTTAGAATGAAAGTAAGAACTCAATTATGAGCAGCCAAGTGGAAGTTACAACCACCTAAATTTGTTGTGTTGTCTATAATGAGTGGGACACCAAACAATGTAATGATTGGAATAATCTTTAAGTTGATGTTAATGATGAATCGTGATTGTTGAATTATGCAGACAAATGAGTAATGGCACTATGACAACATATTTATTGTATGGTAGACGTGATAGTACTACTTTATAATGACCCATTCTATTAGCAATAGAGATGAAGTAATGTTGTGACAAGTGAATGGCCAAAAAGAGAGAATGGCCTTTCTCAAAAAGAAAAAAAAAAAAAGAGAGAATGGCAAAGTTAGTTGAAAAGACAATACAATTTCAGCTCAAGTTTCCTTGTATAAATTTGGATGCAACCTATAAATGATTAAATGCCATCAACCATTTTCAATTAATTTAATTTTTTTTATATGAATATTTGTATTTATTTTTTCAAAAGTTTTCAATTTATAAAAAAGTATTATGTAGGTTTAATCTATAATAAATGTCTACGAATAAAACATCAATGTATGATTCTAGTGTGAATGAATTTGAAATGAGTTTGTCAATGTTTGTATTTTTTTTTTTTTGAACAGGTCAATGTTTGATACTTCGTATAATTTAGTTAGGTACCTAGGCTCACTCATTTAAAAAAATTCTAAATGGAAATGAAAAAGAATTAAATAGACAAATATTGATTTAATCAATTGATTTCTTCCTTGCTTGTAATTAATATAAGTGTTCTTATGTGATACACAAATATTGGTCACGCAAAGTTGCAATCTCATTATGAAACACTGAAACTACATTTATCTATGTTATTTCATTTAACCCTAATCTACATCTACTTGTTAAATTAAAGTAATTTATCAAATAATTAAAACAGTTAGTTGGCTAGGCTAGGCAAGCGTTTGTTCCATTAAAAACTCACGCTATTGAAGGTTTACATTGTTTGATGAGCCATCAGCACATATAACACTTATACGAAGTACTTCCTATAAATCTAGAATTTATTTTAAGGTTTAATGTGGGTGAATGTATTTTTAGATATATTCAAGTATATGATAGACACGTTAACATTAAGTGATGAATATATTCTTGCTTTGTTATCTTAGAATGCTTTATTATTGATGAGAATAACGATCCCTACCTATTGTAATGTATTTCTTCCAAATAGAAGATTACGAACTTTCTAATTAAAAGGTAAAAATAGGAAAAAATGCACGTCACGTGCATAACCAACAAGTTCAGTTGGAGTTAAGACTTCGGAGTTGGAGTATGTTATATTCTGTCGTCTCTCTTCCTCACTCTCTATCAACATTCAACAACCCATCATTTTCCAATTTCAATTGAGAAAGGGGAAATTGGGAATTGAGATCAATCAAATTAGAAATTAGGGTTTGCTTTTCAAACCCTAATCAACACCCCTCTTCTAATTTATTCCCCTTTCTCTCTCCTCCCTAATCGAAGAATCAATGTCAATGGCGGAGATGATGTCAAAGGAGAGAGAAACTCGGTACACCCACAACAATGGCGAATCAACAGTGTGCATTAACGAATCCCTAAGAGACGATGAATTAAGAGCAATTCTTGCGAAATTAGAGTGCACTAAAGATAAAGAAGTGTTCGGATTAGTGTGCAAGAGATGGCTCCATCTTCAGAGCTCCGAGAGAAGAAAGCTCTGTGCGCGCGCTGGTCCCCACATGCTTCGGCGCTTGGCTAAGCGGTTTGTTGGGTTACTTGAACTTGATCTGTCGCAGTCTTTGTCTCGGTCTTTTGGGATTACTGATTCTGATCTTTCTGTTGTTGCTCATGGGTTCCCTTGTTTGCGCATTCTCCATTTGTGCAATTGTAAAGGTAATTTTTTTTTTAATGAAAGATTGGAAATTTTGATATTTTGGGTTGGGTTGCATATGGGTTTATGTGAAAGATTTCAACTTGTTGTAATTTCTGTGGAAAATTGACAGGTTTTGGGTTTATTCGATTTCAATAATTGTCTGTTTGGAATTTGAATGGAGGGGTAGTAGTTGAAAAGGGGTGTCTTGAGGAAATTTGATTAATTTTGTAAGAAACTTGTTTTATTAAGAGAAAAAATTGACAGTTGTTAATTGGGATTGAGTTCAATGTGGTTTTATATAGTCCTAGCTTGTTTATGAGCTCTTAAATGTTGAATGTTGAGATTGGAAACAAATTGGTGTTGTGTTTATTTTTGTATAATTGGAAGTTTCTTAGGTGAGGCTTTCACTGAAAGTACTCCCAATGGTTTAGTTCATTCTGGATTTGAGAAAAGGGAGTTTAGCTAATCAGCTAGTGGTTTTGAACTTTAAATGACTTGAAATTTTGTGTTTTAGAGTAATGAAGAATGAGCAAAAATAAGAAAGTGATGGGCTATAATAAGCAAGAATTCTTATGCTTTGAAATAATGTTGAAAGAACAAAAGTTATCATTTTGGTTCTGGTTTTTAAAAGCACCTTTGGGCCTCTCTTTGAAGTTTTAGATTTTGTTCTTCTTAAATCAGGTGAAAGGAACTTATATTCATCCAATTTTACGCACCACACCTCGCTCATCGATTTCATAGTCTCCAAAACTTTAATGCTATTGGCTTTCTTCTTTGTACTATTATGGATTCTCTCCGGCTGAAGAAGCTGCAAAATCCAAAAATGATCTTTCGGTTCAATTTCTATGGCAGAATTGTCCTGAAATTCTTAATGCAAGTGTGCTACATGATTTGCAGGTATTACGGATGCTGGACTAGTGGCAATAGGAAGTAGTCTTCATTCTTTGCAATCTCTGGATCTATCACATTGCAAAAAAGTGACAGACAAGGGATTGTCTGCTGTGGCTAAGGGCTGTAATGGCCTAAGATTCTTGCGCCTTGAGGGCTGCAGATTCATTACCGATAGTGCACTAAAAGCTCTGTCTGAAAATTGTCGTAATTTAGAAGAATTGGTCCTGCAAGGGTGCATGCGCATAACTGACTCTGGACTTACCATACTTGCCAGTGGATGTAGACAACTCAAGTGTTTAGATCTGAACAAGTGCGCCAATGTAGGAGATGCTGGGGTCTCTAGTGTCTCAGAAGCCTGTTATGCTTCTCTAAGGACTCTTAAGGTATGGGATTGCTATAAAGTTGGAGATGATGCTATCTCCAATTTGGCTAAGGTTTGCAAGAGTATAGAGACTCTAATTATTGGTGGTTGCCGGGACATAACTGACGAGTCTATTAAATCCTTGGTGTTCTCTTGTCATTACAGTCTTAAGAATTTGCGGATGGATTGGTGTTTAAGCATCTCTGATTCTTCAGTGAGCTGCATTCTTATGAATTGCAAGAATCTGGAGGGGCTAGATGTGAGGTGTTGCGAAGAGCTGACCAATGGTGCTTTTAGTGGATTAGGCAGAGGGGATGACCATGCAGCAAATCTGAAGGTCTTGAAGCTTGGTAATTGTCCGAAGATCACGGTGTCTGGACTAGCCATTATTCTAGATTCTTGCAAACTCTTAACATACCTTGATGTTTCTTCATGCCCACACATTACAAAAGCTGGTCTTGATGAGGCTGGACTTCTGATTCCCGAAACCTGTAAAGTGAATTTTAATGGAAGCCTAACAGAGCCGGACATGTTGGTTTGAGCGTGTTAGTCTTTGGGCTTGACATACATACATTGTGCATCCTTGTTCGGTGTTTTGGCATGTGGAATAAAAAGGTAAGGGTCATGCTATCCTCTACCCTTTCGCACTGTAGTGAGTGTTGGTGGCGTGCATCCCGTTATTTTGTTTCTATAGTTAATTTTTTCTGGTGCAGAATTCTCTGTACAGTTTGGTGTAGAACATGTACTATAGTGTCTTTGTAGCATTGTCTGTTGGACTTCATGGCAATAATTATGATATCTGTGATGTAATCTGGTAATTTAAGTTAAGATCTTGTATAGATATATTATAACACGTTTCCGAGTCTGCCATTGTTTTGCCGGGGCACTAATTTGTCTGTTTGGACAGTCGCAAGATTGATATGATGTTTTTCGTTGAACCAAACGGAGCCATAGTTGTTTACTTCTATATTGTTAGATGATGCAGATATCCTTAAAGTGCAAAAAAGGTCACAGCTCAGTGAACGATGCGATCATTTTCGTGTGTGTATTTAAACTAGACCTGGCAAAATTGACCATACTTGACCCGAGCTTTGTACTTGTATATGAAATCTCATACTATGATTTTGACCTGTTAAGAAATTGCCTTGAAAAGAAATTTTTGGAACATCTATTTATTGATAATATCTTTGTATTATGGAAGTAAAGAAAGCAGCAACTAAACAAGATTACAAAAACTTGAAACTAACAGTCCAGTGTATATATTATAGTACAACCAGTGGAGCTGTGGGTGGGATTATATCAGGCATTGGTTTTGATGGCGGTGGGTCTATTTCTGGCACGTTAGGCGGAACAACATCAGGCGGCTGACGAGGTGGAACCTCCGGTGGTGGGAATATATCAGGTCCAGGGATGGGCGTGTGTGGAATCTCTGGTCCTGGTGGATTCGGTGTGGGATCAGGCGGTGGTATATGCGGTTTAATCTCTGGTTCAGGTGCAATGATGAACTCGTTGGGTTCTGACGGGGTTGGAGGCATCTCAACCGGTGTAGGCAGGTTAACCTCTTGAGTACGCCTCGTAGGGAACTCAGGTGGTGTCGTGGACATGGACGAGGTGGCTAAAGGCCTAGGAGTAATGGTTAGGTGGTTGGAAGGAGAACGAGGAGTTATGATTAATTTGTTAGGGGCATAGAGTGGTATAGATCTCTTCAAAAGATTGAACAAAGGAGATG